CAAAGAACATCTCTTTGGATTTGAGACTTTAGTCTTTGCAACTTTACAGATCTTATTTATGCACCAAGAGCTTGTAACACTCCAAAGAGAAAGGAAAAATTTAAATCGCATCATATGACCCCTTTAAAGTTCAGTGATATTGGACACATCCACTTTACTGTCTCTAATTCAGCACATATGTCTGTTCACTTTTCAGAGCACCGTCAGTCACATCCATTCCACTTGAAGAATGCCCTAATAAACTAAACACCATTCCACCAGCCTTGACTTCCATGCTGCTGCTTCCTCAAATCCATTCCACTTGGCTCATTCAGTATATAAGAATTAAACTCCATTCTGTAGCGTCTGGACCACTCAAACACACAATATATATTTTGTTAGCTAGATTTAACAAATACTCTGTAACACCCCAGGAAGCCGAACAGGCCCCTGGTTCCATGGCAGCCCTGACACCCGATACATTTACGACCTCCTGGAATTTAGGTGAAGAAAATCGCTTCCTTGCCCATAAGGAAAATCCACAAGGGAAGGACTTTTCTTTGCTAATTAATTAATAGGAAAACCTTTCTTTGAATGAACACACATGATCCTTCAGGTCATTGGGTATATTATTGTCATCGTGTATTTTGTCTTTGAAATTGTATACTGTTATGCAGGCTTATAATCGAAACACACTCCTGTCAGCGTACATATATATAACCTTACCATGTTTAGTATCTATGAATTCGTATTCGGATGATCTAATTGAGAGTGTATATTGTATGTTTACACCTACGCAACATATTAGTGTTCTAAGAGTCTTTAGTAATTTTTATCCAAGTTTCATATGCAAATTACCATGCTTTCAAACAAAGGGCCATAAAAACGCCCCAGTATCTCAGAACTCCCACTTGAGATTCCGGACGTCCTCATTGGACAAGCCCATCTTGAGAGGCGTGAATCTTTGCAGGCTTTAAAGGCCGCACTTCATGTGACCCGCCCAGTCGGTGGTTTGTTTGAAGTCTGAGAGGATGTGAGAAAAACGCTCCCGGAAACCCTAAGCTCGTGTCAGGCTTCGGCCTTGTCCTTTCCATTCATCAAGATCCTCTGACTCAAAACTGGTCCGCACCTGGTGCACTCCTGTGACACAGCAAGATAAACACAGGCAGACAAAGCAAACTAAACAAGCTGGCATTAAAGTGAATGTTCATCATTTGTTCACCTGACCTGTTGCATTTAAAGGCATCATGTAGTCTTTTTGTTGCAGCATTAAATTAGTTACACTTACACTATTTTGTTATAATGCAGTTATCTGACGTCTTTGCTAGGCTAGATAGCTAGCTACAGTACGTCAATTTTTTTTTGTTCAAAACAACTTACTAGACTTTTAAACGCTGTGTTAATTTTTGGGAAACCTTGTCAGGTATGTGGTAACCGTTTTAGATATAAAAGCAATTGTTTAATTAAAAGGCACCAGGAAATTGCATCTGCTCCAGTAAAAAAATTTTGAGTGAGGACCCACTTTAATGTCACACCACACAAGTTTTTATTACATGATCACTATTGCCTTGTCTGTTATTACCGATAGTTTGAGAGTATATATGCGGTTTGTTTTAACCTAAATCACAGCAGCATCCATCTGTGAAAGATGTAGGCTGTCAAACATACACAACTGTTAGTCAATCATAGCAGTGGGCATTTACTTTCGAGTCTACAATATCTCACGCCTATTCAAACAGAGAGTTCAGGGGTCAAAACCGGAAATAAAATAGCCTATTACTTAAAAATTATTACTTAAAATTACTTATAAATTCAGCAGTGGCCTTGGGCCCAATCGAATATATTTTAATTTTAAATACAAGTAGGAAGATTAAATCTAGGGGTGCTCCAATCAGGATTTTTGAGGCCGATCACCGATCACAGAAAGCAGTATCTGCCGATACCGATCACTGATACCGATCTTTTTAAAGCCTTCTATTTATCATTTATAACTATTTATAGTGATACTCCAATCGGGATTTTTAGACATTTATTCAGGGCCTGAATTTCATTTTTGAAAATGGGGGGAATTCCCCTGTTAGGTATCTCTTTTGAGAGGAGAAGCAGCTTTCACACAGGAGTACGCTACTGATCCGTGGCTGTTTACCACAAACACAACATTTATCCATTAGTTTGATTTCAAATACAAACATTGTCACTGGAAATGCTTTTTCAGCATTGCAATTCTTTTTTTACACAGTACAGTAATACAATCTTTCACAGACATGTTTAAACACAATAAATATAATATATTAAGATTTATATATTAAGTTGCTCAAGCAAGTGGCAAAACATTTAAACTACCTTTCTTACGTTATCACAAACTTACCATTGACAGAAATGGTATTCCTTTTGCATTGAAATAGTTATTACAAGCAATCCTGCGGTTCATAAAGAACTTTGTTTTCCTTCCTCCACGAGTGGCATCTATTATTGCCTTATCTAAAAGTGCTCTTTCCCTTTAAACCTAGCCAAAAAGCCATATGACTTGACTGTGAAACAGAGTAGACTTTAATAATATGCATTTATGGTGTAATTGCTAAATTTTCGTCTCTATCCATGTTCATATTTACTGAAAACAATGGGCTGTTACTTTAATTCAGTGCTTGCAGCACAGCAAACATAGACTCGGTGCGGACACTAGCTCTGCTCTGCTGCAGACGCGCTGCCGGACCACAACCGTGTGCAGTGAATGCTTTAATCCGTTAACATGAGCGCGGAAAAAATACGCACCTCATACGCACTGCAGACTGATTAATGTAAACCTGGCATTATGTGTGTGCGCTGTGAGTGTGCATGAGTGCAGTCTCCAGGAGTGCGTGCGAGCGCTGAATGGTTAAACACTGGCAATAATTAAAAAGTAATGCAATTTATAAACTTTAGTGACAATGTGACACTGCCTCGATTGTGCAAGTGACAATTCCTGTGTCAACTGTGCAGCTGGCTTATAGACAGATGCAATGTGAAGCCATTTGCGTATTTTGAGAGAGAAAGAGGGAGAGCGCGCGGTGATTCACTCACATTGTTTGTGAAGTTACGTCTCACACAAGGTTTTCAAATTACTTTAAAAGTTATTTAATGAAGAAATATAGCATTATAATTATTTCACCCGAGCCGGACAGAGACTGAGACGGTGCCGCTGCATGTAATGCCAAACCTCTCATGGCAGCGTCATCAGCTTGAGATCGTTTTTTTGAGATCGGCCTTTTTAGAGACTGCCGATCAATCATTCCAATGTGATTATTGGCCGATAGTGATCAGTAGCCGATCAATCGGAGCACCCCTAATTAAATCTTTAATTAGGTCTTTAAGATTTAGCTTGTCCTTTCCATTCACAAAAAGGATTGAGGCAAGAAAAGAATCTCAATTATAATTCAAAAAAGCTACTAACCTTCCCTGCAAGTCATCCAGAGTTAATCTTCCTCCATAGTGGGTAGCTGAAGACATAATGACTATTCGGGAACATTTCCCAGGTTTGCCTGACTTCTTCAGCACATCCAGCAACAGGTTGGTTAACAGGAAATGGCCCAGGTAGTTTAGCCCAAAGTGTAGCTCAAATCCATCGTCTGTTCTCCTCTCCGGAACAAGCATAACACCAGCTGCAGACATAAAGGAACATCATTGCTGATATATTATGAACAGACAGAATATGCAGGCCACCAGGCAGAATCCTACTAGGCTTGATCAAGTATTCACTCCTCGAAAATGACTCATGAGTCACTTCTGAGTCACTCTTTCCTCTGGTTTGAAAAGCGATGAACTTCACACACTTGGAGAACATTGTACCACATGCAGCTCTCTGAATACTGTGGATTAGGTATTGCTGGTTTATTGATTTGCGTCTTTTTAAATGGCTTTTAGCACACACAGAAGGATATCGGAGATGTCTTTACATGAAACTGAACTAGCGAATAACCATTTCCTAAACTAATGTTCTTAATGTGTCTCTTTCTGCTTAATTCATGGTCTCGCTGAGAAGTAATGCTTTCGATAAAAAGATGGGAAGAACATCATGGGTCACATTCACACATAAAAATATCCCTCTACAGAAATGCATTTCTATGTCTTTAAAAGGAGCGCCACAAGATAATTAAAGTTGGTGGATCCCAATATGGCCTGAAGAAAATGGGTGTTCATTCAAAGAAGGTTTTCCTATGAATTAATTAGTAGAAAAGTCAGTTTCTCCTGTGCATTTGTGCCTTTCTTATGAGGAAAATGAGGGAGTTTATCCCCTGCATTCCTTTTAGGCCATAAAACCAGTGATATCAGCATTGGTTACCATGGAACCAGAGGCCTGTTCTGCTTTTCTGAGGTGTTAGGTGCATTTCGGGGGAAGGGTCCATAGACCCTCGTAATTGGCCATTCGGTTAGGTGATGGGGAGTTCGATATTATTTGTTAAATATAACAAAAAGTTGTGTGTCTGATTGGTCCAAATGCTACACCAATATCAAATGGATGTAATCTAGTTTAAAACCCTGACCGAGACTGACCACCAGCATTCATGCATTCATAAGCTTGTGCTCTTGAAAACATGTTTCATCATTATTTTGCTCTTAACAGAATTACAGCTCAGTCTGCAGGAGAAAACAGTAATCAGGATTATAAAAATGTCCTCAGCATATTAAACCAACATTAAACAATGTGTTTTCTTTAATTAATCTCGTGCTGGAAAGTAGGGCTGGGCAATATGCCAAAAATATTATCATGATATTTCTTTCCACATCATACATACTGATATTTATCACAATATTAATTTATCATTTACCATGGGGAAGGAAATGCTTTCTAAATGTTTGGTAAGCCCAAAGAATGAATGTGAACAAATATTGTTCGTTCACAATTAAACTCCAAGATACATTTTAATTTAGGGCCTCCTGAAACCCATTTTGTGATTTCCATTTAATTTTTTGGATTCTGTGTTTTATTATTTAACACAAATGTTTCATCAAAAATCGTGTTGAATGAAATGAATTGATGACTTAATTTATTAAATCTTTTAAAATGTAATCAAATTAAAATATAACAACTAATTTACCACAAAGCACAGAGTTTTTTTCAGTTCTGCACAACTGTATAAATTAAAATGAGTGAAAAATCTTAGCATGATATTCCTTAAAAATAATAATAAGTTTACAGAATATTATTACACCGCTCTCTGGAATACTTGATTCTGTTTGGTCAGTCGCCGACTGGTGTTGACAATGGTGTTGGCGTTGTTATCAATAGTATATATTCATCATTCAAAAGGAGAAATGAAAACAAGGATATACGAGATATACACAGATATACAAAATGTAAACAAAGCAGCTCTTGCTTACCATTTTAAATATCAGTTATGTTGATATCTTTCTTCATATTAAGCGGCTCATGTTGTTATGAATATATTTGCGTATTGGAATGCTTGGGTAAGATAATGTTACTTTAGAACAGTCTGTGCCATCTTGACTTGCTTGCTTGTTTTCATCACTTTTGCTTTAATTCTCGACTCATTTACTAAACTGAACATCCAATCAGAGTTCTCACACTCACCGATGGCCCCAACGCTGATTCATGTTTAATTGGTCAAAATGCCATCAACATGAGCCTGACGAGAGCCGATGTGTGCAAAACTTGTCTGACAGACACTCGACGGTGGCCCAACGTTTGTCACCGGTCACTTGGTGTGTCCCAGTGTTTATTAGCAGATAACAACTGTTGCCGTCATCCAGGTATTTGAGGCCAGTTCTTTAAAATCTCTCAAACCACACCCCTGCGCTCTCTCTTTAGTGAATGATACGATGTACATTATGCCTTAAATGTGAGTTTTGTCTGAACTTTGTCTAGGCTCAAAGCCGTTTGTTAGCAACTGCTTTTCTTTGCGGAAGCTTTGCATTTAAAGTGCTTATAAAATATTTCATTTCAAATCAATATTTTGTATCTAATTATTTATTTAACTTGGCAAGTAGCCGTGTAATAAGCAGTACATCCAGCCAGTTGTTATTGCAGAATAAACCCCTTCAGGGCATTGCAAGGCTGTACATTATCCCTAAGGTAATATATTTCTGTTATAATTTCTTCAAGTTAAACCCCACTCTTTTGGCGGGTTGTCAAAGATCTTTGAGTTTTGGTTAATATTGGATGGCAGTTTTTCCTCGCTAAAAGTTATGTTTATTTCTAATGTGTTTACTAGGCTGTTAGATTAATCCATAGAGTAAAAATGTCCAGAGCTTATCTTTATCAACATAAATTTGACAACAAACCTGATATGTTATGGTTTATTGTCCAACCCTTCTGGAAAGTTAAACCTAATGCATCCTAATGTTATCGATCCATGATTGAAGGATCTCTGAAAAGACAATCAATGTCCCCTGACTCTCCCTCAGACACATGCAGTGTCCTGTCCAGCCAGGGCACTAGAGGGGTCAAGCGTTGACCTTTCTGTATCATTAGACCCTCAATGGGGTGGCACAAATGCATTTGCCCATCAACCGGCATCAGAGGGGAGGGGTGTGTGCCACAGAGAACAAACAGGAAAAGGGGAGCGTGAATTATTAATTCTCTCTGTTAGGGAGAGGACAGTGTGTGACTGCTCCTGTCATTTTGAGGCATTCCCTGGAGCAGGCTTCTAAATAAAAGTCACTCAGTTAAAACAAACAACCCCTAAGGCCCTCAGGACACAGACCAGACATGTCCAACCGAGCGAGCTTAGGAGGACACAAGAGATTTCAGGTTGAGAGACAAGATGTACAGCCCTTAAAAATTATAAATAGCTAACACTTCACAGTAAGGTTCAATTTGTTAACATGAATGTATAAAGTATCACAAACTAACAATGAGCAGCAATTGTGCCGTATTTATTAATCTAGGTTACAGAAAAAAATACTATTATTCATTGCAATTTCATGTTTGTTCATTGTACCTATTCATATATACAATGTGAAATGTTAAAATGTCTATGGATAAATTAATACGGACCTAAAATAATAAATGCTTTAACAAATACTGCATTTTCAGTACTAATGTATTGTTGACAATAGTAATGCTTTCAATAAATAAACTTAATGTTAGACACTGAAAATATGACAGAATATAAACTATTACAGCACAACTGCTGTGGCCTAATGATGCGTTTTTTTTTTTTAATTTTAAAGAAACTAGAGAAATTTAGGAATTTACATACCATTATTGACAAGGACGTGTAGTGGCAAACCTTTGGTTTTATATCTCTGGACAAAGTGTCGTACAGATGTCAAAGAGGCCAAATCCAGGTACATGAACTCCACTAAAAACAAAGAGATTACAAAATCAGTACTACAAGCAGCACCTATAAGAACACATGCTGTAAATTAATGTAGGCAATTCAACAATATAAAGCTTCAAAAATTAAAACTATATAATTTACTCAGCCTCAAGTTGTTCCAAACCTGTATGCTTGTCTTTCTTCTGTGGAACATGAAAGAAGAGACATTTCTCAAAATGTCTTCTTGTTCCACAGAAGACTGAAAGGTTTGGAATGGCATGAGAGTGAGTAGGCTAAATGATGACAGAATTCATTCATTTCATTCAAACAAGGCTTTGTCAAGGCAACATTTTGTTTTCACAAATGTAGCTTTTCCTGTTAAAAAGGAATCCTCTTTTAACACTTTCTTACCTTCAATACACTTCAATTCTACTGCCTTACATTAACACATGAATTGCACTTATGCATCCTGTTTGCTACCAAGGCAAAATCAGGAACTGAATTAGAATTTAAAAAGCATTCTCAATTCAATTCTGAATGGCACACAACCCTGGTAATCACACATATTGAATTGCTCAAGGACGGCACAAGCATGTGAATGGCAGTAATACTGAATCATCCAATAATGTGAGGTCTTTGTGAAAGGTCTTCCTTTGACCAACTGAACACGTCTTTAAGGGGGTCTGAATACTTTCCGTACCCCACTGTATGTACCAAGAGTTCCTGTAAAACCACAACAAATTCCTTGTGTTTGCGTACACTTAAGTGGTGAATAAAGCTCATTCTGATTCTAATAAGAAAGCACCCCTACAACAACTTCTGAAAGTGAACGGTAGTGTTTTACTCAACCATTACATAAAAATGTCATTTTAACATTAGTGTAATCATTTTAACATGAGTTTAGGAACTCAATAATAAAAAGGAAAAATAAAACACTGCGTAGTATTTACTCTTTGAATTCAATATGCTCTGATTCTTATTTAAGCTACAAAAGTTATTTAGGTAAGAGCAGTGAGTGATTTTCTCTTTGTCTTTTGTTCATGGCCCCAAATATTGCAAGCTGTAGCGATATGCATATTGCGATATCTACATTTGCGATATTTCGATATATTGCACAGCCCTAGTTCACACACTTGCATGATCACAGCAATAAGTATTCAATATAACAACAGAATTATTCCACAATAAAGATGACATACTGAATGCACAGTATATTTTCATATGCAGCTCATAACAGTCAAAGCATTTGCCCCCCTCAAATAAAACAAGTAAACTCAGCTTGTCAGCTTGTTTTACAGGGCTTGGTTTTAAACAGTAGTTGCAGGCTAAATGTCTGTTGAATCATCCAACGCTCTCATGCCGTAGTTCATTTAATAACCTTATTCTCTTGGTCTGTACATCAAAGCACATGTCCAATTAGTCTCATTTCAAAGCATGCTAATTATTCCACTCGCTAATGCTCACGTAAAGTCAAAAGGACATTTCTTCCATCAACTCAAATGACCTATCAGTGTTTAAATGATCACTTCTTTTTAGATAAACATCTGAAACCAACAAAATCACCCCAAAAAATCTGCTCCAAGAGATACAAAACAATAATGTTTACCAGGTAGTGTAGCTGAATTTGAATGTTATTGTTAAGTCTTGACTCTTGACAATGCAGCTCAATATACTGTACATCTGAAAAAACTTAATTTGAAGTTAGGTCCATTTTATTTTATGAATAAGTTAATCATCTTGAAAAGTGTCAAACTATCAGTCTGACACTTTTCTTTGATGTAACTAGTGTTGTCAGAAGACCCGGTACTTTTGGTACCAAGTCGTACAAAAAAAATTAAAACGTTACGGTACCAGCTTTTTAAGTACCGGTGGTATCGAGTACCTGGTCAACCTGGTTCTTGATGCGCTATCCGAAAGGTGCGCAGATGCGTTCTCTTCATAAAAGCACTGAGACGTGGCGACCTCAAAAGGAGGAAACACATCACACTAATAAAACACTTTAAAGACGACACCCGGATCAGATGAAAGAGTTCAAGCAGGTAAGTTTCAGTTAAATTTTTTATATTTAGATCTTCTGTTATGAATATTATTCCATATTTTAATTAGAACGTCGGACTGAAATAAACATCGCCGTTAGCATAGTTAATCGTTAGCATAAGCGCAGCTAACGCTAATATAATGAGAATTAAGTTTCTTTATTAACTATTTAATGCTCCTATAACTTTTAGGGGGGAAGTCGTGGCCTAATGGTTAGAGAGTCGGACTTGTAACCCAAGGTTGTGGGTTTGCGTCTCGTACCGGCAGGGATTGTAGGTGGGGGGAGTGAATGTACAGCGCTCTCTTCCACCTTCAATACCACGACTGAGGTGCAAGTCACCAGGGCCCCGAGGCAAAAAATGGTGTGCTCCGGGTGTGTATTCACGGTGTGTGTGTGTTCACTGCTGTGTGTGTACACTTTGGATGGGATAAATGCAGAGCACTAATTCCGAATATGGGTCACCATACTTGGCCACATGTCACATCACTTTCACTTTTATTAGGGTAAAAAATACAGGAGGACATGATAATATTTACTATTTTTACACACCAGAGGCTTTTAAATGAATTGTGAATCTAAAATATGCATGTTAGAGAATGTACAAATGGTTAACAGTGTTTATGTCATATCAGTCCGTCAGAAAAGCAGTTCTGGGCTTTTTTATTTTTTAGCTAGTTAGTTGTTATACTTGGCTGGATAACTCTAGCAGGTTTTAAAAGCCCTTTAAAATTAAATATGTACACAGTTTGGATTAAATTAAAGTACAGTCAAATTGTATCTCCTGTATAGACTTTACAATAAGATACCATTCATTAACATGACTTTATGTTATTATCTAACATCAACTTACAGTGAGTAAACAAAATATTTTTACAACATGAATTAATGTTTGTGGGTGTTATTTAATACAAACACTTGATCATTCATGTTTGTTCATTGTGCATTAAATCATTTTAACAGATTGAACTTTTAGATTTTATGTATTAGTAAATTTTTAATTTAACCCTAAAAGAATATTGCTATATAACTATTGTTTATTGATAGGTCATGTTATCAAACACATGGAATCTTATTGTAAAGTGTTTCTAATACTACAGTTTTCATCTATTTGATATACACTTGTCTTAAAATATATGTAATCTTATCTAAATTTATTATAAAATCTGAGGTTTGTTATTTACTGAAAAGTTATATTTTAGCTGGTGTCAATGATCTAATGTTGCATTTGGTCAGACTCAGTCCATTGCTTTACTTAAGTACATTATGTTTTCCTTTTACAGCTGCAGGCTGAGAAAGAACCTGAAACACACCAGCAAACCCTAAAACAGACAACAGTTTACAGTTGTTTTTTTTATTTTGGGTGAAACTTGTTTACTTTTTTTCATACTTTTATTACTTGTGGAAAAACCTGAAACACAATTTTAAATAAGTACAAAGAATGGCATTGATTTTTGTACATTTCATTTTTGTTTGACTTTATTAACAAAAATACTGTGCTTTTTAATTAGCTTGTTCTTGTGTTTTGCTTTGGTACCGAGAACCATGGATTTTCACTGGTATTGGTACCGAATACAGACATTTTGGTACCGTGACAACACTAGATGTAACACTAACAAACATTCTTTAAATTTGATATCTGCTTCATTTTGAATTAACAGGCCATATATGGATTTCACTTGGTCTCTAAAACCTAATCTGAATAATATGATGTGTCTTTATAATCCTTCCTGTTCTTGTTCTCCATCAACTTTAATTAGGCTTATCATTAATTCAGTCTGATGGGACTAACCTTTGAGCTAATAATGACTCCCAAGTGAGAATTAGACCATTACATGCCTGCCGGGGTGGAAAGCAAGAAATGTACACAGGAGGCCCTATAAAAGAGCAGTGATACTTCAAGGATGTCTTTTAAATTAAATGTTTAGCGGAATTGTTGATGAGCTTGTCGGAACATGCCCAAGTATGGGTAGAAATTACAAAAATGACAGAGATGACAAAGTCAGCATTCTGTTTCTCATTTTGTTCATAGACATAGTAAACATATAAGCCCAAACCCAAGCTTTTAAAACTGCAGCATCTGCAAGTTGCTCTAATGTGGCTCAGAATGCTGTTGTGTTTACCTCAATAAGCCTTTTGGGATTTTAGCTTATGAAAATGAGACACTACATTAAAATATTCCAGTCATATGCACATCATTGCTTCAATCAGTTTTAGTTGTCATGTTATGCAAATCCTGGTATTTTGTTAGTTTTTTCCCCTCCCTGCATAATAGTGAGGTGAGGCAAGGTCAATATGACAAAACATTCACCTTTACTATCCCATCAAAACAGAGTCACCAAGATTTAGATGTGGCCCATGGTTGTTTAGCAGATGTGTGCAAAAATAGTAATAATGTGGTGATGGTCTTAAAATGACGGTTACCCCAATTAGCTCCTTAATACATTCAAGATCTTCCATTTATGATTTCATTAGTTTCTAAAAACATTTACTGAAATGAATTAAATTCCAGCTGAAATTCCATTAAATTAATTAATCAAGCCTTTTCAACAAAAGTACTTAGTTTGAATAAATCTGTTTTTATCTTTTATGAACCTAAATTCAAATACATTTCCAATTAAAGGACTATGGATTTCAAATTTTGCTACCATTCATGCAACATATCAGACCATGTGCACTGTCTTTACCACTCTACTTTAACAAAGTACTGAAATGATTAATACATGATTTAAAAATATATATTTTAAAAATTTTTGGCCAATGTTATACTAATCAATAATGGGAAAAAAATTACTTATTTTACTTTAATAGAGTACTATATTAAAATATTAGTTTACTCAAATGAAAACTGCCATCATGTACTCATCCTCATGCACAGTTGAGATTACATTTACCATATTTGATGTTATATTCGCATTACTCCGTTCACTTGACAAACATTTGACCATTTTATTAGATATAACTATTGTTATAAAACCCAACACACATAAACTCAAGGGTCTTTACA